AAAAAAAAAAAAAAGAAAAGAAAAGAAACTAAAAGAAAATATACTGAATATACCAGCCTCAAATCCTTTGCTTTTTAAATTACTATGCTTTCTTTTCTTTCTCTTTTTTTTTTAAAGGACAGAGTCTCACTCTGTTGCCTAGACTAGAGTGCCATGGCCTTAGCCTAGATCACAGCAACCTCAAACTCTGGGGCTCAAGCGATCCTCCTGCCTCACCCTCCCAAGTAGCTGTGACTACAGGCACCCACCACAATACCTGACTAATTTTTTTTTCTTTCTTTTTTCTTTTTTTTAGTAGAGATCAGGGTCTTGCTCATGCACAGGCCACTCGTGAGCTCATAAGCTCAAAGGATCCTTCTGTGTGGTCTCCCAGAGTACTAGGATTAAAGGTGTGAGCCACCGTGCCTAGCCTGTTATGTTTGGGGTTGTTTTTCTCTGTCCTTTCTTGTTCCTCTCTGCTGGCATTCTCTTGTAATTGTACCTTAGTCTAACTTCTGATTTGTTACTTCTACTTCTGCTATGATCTTCAAAGTTAGACAACTAGTTTGATCGGGGTGGTATATAACTTAAAGATGACACTGGCTGCTCCACTGAATAGGCGATGGTGATAATGAACATAATACTGGATGTCAAATTGGAAATGCCAGGTAAGATGCCAAGATTAAATAGACCCAAAACTCCAAAGAAAGACCACATACTATATAAACACTGAACTGTATACTTTAAATGAGTAGACTGCATGTCATATGAATCTTATCTCAATATATCTGTTAATAAGAAGAAAAAATGAGAGAAAGAAAAAAAAAGCTGAAAATGTTCCCAATGCTTGTCTAAGTTTAAATACTCTCTTTTTACCCAGTGAGCTGGCGGATCAATTTATCCATCCAGATATTTTCCTTGTTTCCTGCCTTTGAGCTGTACTCTATAATTTAGTATTAGCAAAAAGCTAATAAAGATAACACATCCTTTGTTGCTAAATTTTGCAGTGTTTATCATTTTCCTCCAACATACACATTTCCTCTGTTTCCCAACTGCAGCTGGGCTGCCAAAACCTTGTAGAGAATAATTACCCTTCTACATCCCTCTTGGTTTCATGACAGTCTCAATGCTTGGTGCATAATTAAGTGTCTACAGCAAACTAATGTTTTGCTTGCCTCTCCGGGAGGTTTTAAATTCACCAAACTGTTCACCCAACTATGAATGGTTCCTTCTCTACTTTTGGGAGGGCAACAGTAGGAGAAATGGCAGGATTCACTATTTCCAGGTCTCTTTTTTTATGGATAACTCCCCAGACAGAAAGAAATTCT